TATGCGGCCACAGACTCAAGTGAGAAGCACCTCTATCCAGACGGTGCGGCCATTATTGCTCTTCTGGGCAGCTCGGCGTGCGATAATAACCATCATCTCGTAACGCTAGAACGGCACAGCCAGAAGGGTCCCCTGTGGATCAGAGTCCAGCCCCTGTCAGCGAGGCGCGGGGTTTCGAACTCGCAACCTCTGGCTCCACAGCCAAAGATGCAAAAGGACCCAGGGACCGATCCCAAGGGATCAAAGTGGTCCTCTTGAAGGCCCGCCCTGTCTTTTTTTTAAAAAAGCTTCCGCCTGCATTCTTGTAGAACTGCTGGCTAGCTCTGTGGTTTAGGGATCTGGCTGGGAGTTCGAATCCCCCACAGTGCCTGTTGGACGGGGGGGGGCGGCTTGACTCAATGTTCCATAGGGTCCCTTCCCTTCTATTTAAAGCTAACAGCAGTGAGTCTACAAATACTTAAAAGGGTCAAAGAGAGATCATACCGAAGACGTAAGCAACGCCAAAAGACCTGCGAAGGAGTCAGGCACGACAATCCATTAAAATAAAAATACAGTGGTGCCTCGCTAGACAGTTACCCCGCATGACAGTTTTTTTTGCTAGACATTGGCTTTTTGCTATTGCTATAGCGATTCGCAAAACAGTGATTCCTATGGGGGAATTTTGCTGGACAATGTTTGGTCCCTGCTTCGCAAACTGATTTTCGCTAGACAACGATTTTGACAGTTCCCTCTGTGCTCGCAAAACGGGTGTTTTCGGGACCTAAGCTTCGCAAGACAGCGATTTAAACAGCTGATCGGCGGTTCGCAAAGCGGCTTTCCTATGGCCGATCTTTGCTAGACAACGACGATTCCTCCCCCTTGGAACGCATTAAACAGGTTTCAATGCATTCCAATGGGGAAATGCTTTTCGCTAGATGATGATTTCGCTAAACAGCGATTTCAGTGGAACGGATTATCATCATCTAGCGAGGCACCACTGTACAAACTTCACTCAGGCAGCCGGGGATGAAGGAAAATCTTGCCAGAAGGGGACGGGTCTTCACCGGATGGGGCTTAAGTTCTCTGACTTGGTGGAAGGGACCTTTCTTGGAAAGTTTGGGTTTTCGAGGTTGCATGTGAACATCACCCAGTGAACATCACCCAGCCGGCTACGTATGGCAGTTTTCCCCCCCAAAGGAGAAAATCCTGCTCTCTGGGTACGAGTGGACAACACATCTTAGCGCAGTGGCTCGTCGTAATGATTCTTCTGCTCTCAAAGGGTCCTGCTAAGTTTCTCCCCGATCGGGACCCCCTTTCCTGTTTCTTTTATCTCCCGAGCCTTAAAACAAACCAACACTGACCCAGTTTTTCCTTCCTTCTGTAACAGTGGGATCTGGTGTGCGATCGGCGGAAGCTCCGGGAGATGGCTCAGTCTGTCTACATGGCCGGCGTGCTGGCTGGGGCCCTGATCCTCGGCGGGCTGGCTGACAAGTAAGCTGAGCGATATTTTTTTAAAAATACACTCGGATTCTGACCCTTGACTGGCTGCTAGCGACCGATTGCTAGTTGGGCGCTGAAGATTTCTTAACGATAACTTGTGTTTTAAAACATTAATTGCGCCTTGCACTCGCGTAAGTGCGGGTGTACGTTGAGCTTGTTTTCTGTTTGCTTCTGTTGCACAGCAGAAGTACAGAGACGTCCTGAGCAGAATAGCTAGACGTTCCCCAGAGCCCACCCTTTTCTCATTAACGGGCACTTTAAAATCTCAACAACGAACTGAGACTTTTGTAGGAGAAAGAATAAAAATCTTTAAAATCTTGATAACGAACTGAGACTTTTGTAAGAGAAAGAATTTTTTACAAAATTCTTTACTAACAGTTGTTGGAAATCGCAGACTTCCTTTCCTGCACACATATTTAGCTACCAGCCGAACAGATCAACAGCAAACAAACAACAGCCCACCAGCAAAGGAGATGTGGGTGGGGGATACCTAATGGAGAGGCGGGGCTCTCTTTGAGTTCAAAGCCTGGAAGGGACAACGGGTTAGTGCTGGATAGAGAGACACGGACTTAAGCCCAGAAAAATCTCTCCTGGTCGCGCAAACTACAAATAGCAAGTCAAGTTGCAAACGAAAGTCCAACAGAATTCAGGTCCAGGATTTGGCCCTCGGGACCAGAAACCTCTTCTTGAGGAGGGACTCTTTCCTGAGAAGGCTCTGGAGGAAACCTTAATTTGCCACATCTCGGACCTTATTCCCCTCCCCATCCCCGTGGCCTGTTAGTCATAACTCTCCCACATTTTTTGTTTTAGAAACAGGCGAACACCTTATAGAAAATGTGGAGGTAAGGGAAGAGACACACATAAAACCCATAAGGAGAAATTATTCTAGAACTCTTGAACTGGTCCATGAGGGTATTAAAAAAGGCCAAGGGTAATCCAGACATGAATAGAAAGCTTACATCCTGCTTTTCCTTCCTGGGACGCAATTCCTTCAGATCTCAACACTTAACTAATCAGACTTGCAGATAGGGCATATTTTCTCTCCGGAGAACCAATCAATGACACCAGATCCTTGTAGGACAGGCTTTTGACATCTTCCTTTCAACTCCTAGAAAGGCTTTTTATGCAGCTGGCTTTAACTCTTCCTGATAATGTTATATTCTATTTATTGGAATCCTTAGGATACTAAAATAGTGGTGTTTAAACGAAGGACCTCAGGCTGACGGCTTGGAGCCCTCAGCCTAATTTCAAGGTGTGTGTTGTGTATTATGTGTATTATGGAAGTTCCTTGGAACTTCCGACGCTCTTATGACGGACCTTCAAAATACTGTTGTTAACAGACCACAGATTCTGGGTTTTTTGATTGAACCCAACCATCTCATGTTTGATCTTTCATAGAATAAAGGAGTTGGAAGGGGCTTCTGAGGGGCCATCAAGACCACCCTCCTCAATGCAGGAATCCAAGTCAAAGTAGATCCAATACATAGTAGTCCAATCTTCTCTTGAAGGCCTCCAGCGTTGGAGCGCTCACCACCTCCCGAGGTCCTTAGCACCATTGTCGTACTGCTCTAACAGTTAGGAAGTTTTTCCTGATATTCAGCTGAAATCTAATTTCCTGTCACTTGATCCCATTATTGCATTCCCTGCGCTCTGGGAGGACCAAGAACGGATCCTGCTTTCAGCCACGATGGAGAATTCTTTGAAGGATGAGGGCTTGTAGAATAAGAATTTGTGAGATTGCCCTTCCTTTCGGAGGTACGTATTTTCTCAGGTGCCCACATCGCCTCTTAACCCTCCCTTGGTTTCCCGTCCCTTAACCCATCTTCTTCACCCAAGGAATGAAAAATAAAAATTAAAAGGAAGGGAGAAAAGATGGCTTCATGGACATAGGATGAGTTTATTCCAGGGAAAGCTGGGGAACTCTTAAGGCGCCCCAAGTGGACAGTTTAGGAACTGCACGTGTCCTGTCCGTTCTACCCTGGACTCTGGCCGGCTGAGTCACATGCCGCCCGGATAGTGGCAGGCCTCCTTGACCACGGATGCCCCTCCTGGGCCAGATGCCTCCCTTCTGATTGGTCAACAAGTCTTTAACGGACACGTGCCACATTCCAGAGCAGTACAAAGGGTGCCTCTTCCATCATCCGCCTCTCTCTCTCTCTCTGGTGTCCTTCCCGTCTTCATCCGAGCCCATGAGTTGGCACATTTTTGCAGGCTGAGAAGCGCAAGACGAAATGGTGCGGTCATCAGTTCTGGAGCATAGGCACTCGTTGTGATCATTCCTCCTGGACACGGTCCGTAAAAGAGTCCCAAAATCCAGGCCAGCTGCTTTGTATCTCGCCAATCAACCTGTTTTAGCAGTTTTCGCCTCCACCCGGAACGGATCTTTTGCAAAGTGAATGGCTCCTAATAAACCTATGGAAGAGCCGCTGGCCACAAAATGCCAGGCACTAGCAAAAGGGACAGCTGATGACCAACGTTATCACCACCATGTAGGCGGAGATTGCAGCTAAACCCAGAGGAATCGGCTCAGAGGAAGCTTGCTTCTTAAAATGATAATCGTTATTTTTAATTTAAAGGCTCTTCGTAATCCGAGGACACAAAAGCTCGCTTACCTAATTTAGGGTGCAACAATACAGTGGGGGAAAATACACATTGATCGGCTGTGAATTTGCACCCAGGAAGTTGGGCTTCCCCGGGTGGGTTTTCCTTTAGTCGACCAGATAGAAGAGAGGAGGCAAATTGCTAATCAGCACTTGTTCGCAGCTTGTTAAGGCAACGTCTACTGTAGCCATCCAGATTTGCAAGGGGCCTGGCTACAGCAGAAGTTGCCTGAACAAGCTGCAAACAAGCACTGATTGGCCATTTCTTGTCTTCCTCTTCTTCTTCTGATCTCCCGGGTGCTAACAAAACTTTGTTCTTGCACAGAAAGCTGCCACAGAAGTTTTTACCCCAAGCAAAAACAAATAAACATGGGGGGTGTTGAAAAAAAAGTTTTTTTCTACTTGCAGAGACCTCTAGGAAGGTGCTTTTTGTTGCAAAGTTATGAATTCCTGGTTAAAAGTGCTTTGCTACACAATAGAAATACAGCGACTCCCAGAGAATAGCTTCAAGTTCCTCAGCTAGTCCACCCCTTTCCCATCTTCAGCATCCAACATTCCCACTGGCACTTAAGGTCTCAGTAATTCACTCTGAGACATCTGCAGGAGAAAGAATAATAATAAAAACAGTTTGATTGCTTATAGTTGTGAACCGATCGACAGCAAACGAAACAAACACTGACTTCTAAGGGACTAAAGAGAGGGAAAGGAACACTCAGCCATTGCTTATAGTTGTGAACCGATCAACAGCAACCGATCTAAGGGAGTAAAGAGAGGGAAAGGAACACTCAGCCGGCAGGGGCTGTCTTTAAATTCAGAGGCAGGAGGAAACGATCGACTGATTGGATCGTTTGACTGTCACTCCAGCCTAAAATAGTCCCTCCCCTTCACTCAGGCTGCATGCGAGGTTGCAAAAAACTCTAACAGTTTTCACCATAGGATTTCCAAGAGCCCCCACCCCCTAAAAACCCCCAAATAGAAGCTGCCAGTCTATCCCCGTCTTCTCTGGAGTTTTTAAAGGACCATTTCTGGGGGGTTAAAAGAGGTTATACTAAACCCATAGACCATTGCTCCTCCATGCCTCGATCTGTGTTTAAGAGCCGACGGGCCGATTTCAGCTGTTTCTCCTTTTGCTTTGCTGTCTCTCTAGGTTTGGCCGCAAGGCGCTCACGATTTGGTCCTTCCTCCAGATGGCCGTGATGGGGACGTGCGCGGCCTTTTCGCCCAATTTCCTCTCTTACTGCATCTTCCGGTTCCTGAGCGGGATGGCTCTCTCAGGATTCGGCCTGAGCATCGCTTGCTTGCGTAAGAGATTCCCCCCCCCCAGAAGCCTTAAAGACAAACTTTCTGCAAACCTATTTAATTATTACTATTATTATTTTTATTTCAAAGCAGAATTACAATTACAGTTGGGGGCCCTAATCCACGGGATCAGTATCTACTGAGTCAGTTATCCACGGTCTGAAAATATTTAAAATATTTTAAAAAATATATCTAGAAACAGATATTTCTAAAGATGACATTACTGGAAGCGGTCAGTAGAGGGCGCCAGAGACCATACTATGGATCATGTTCACTAAATATATTTCAATGGTTTTATGAGAACTGACCAATAGAGGGAGCCAGAGACCTTCGCTATTAAAAAAGCATTTTATTATAATCCACGTTTTTCAGCATTATGTGTGGGGCAATCGGAACCGATTCCCCACATATCCATTGCAATATTTTTTTTAAAAAAATAATTTTTTAAAATATTTTTTTAAAAAAATTTCAAAGCAGAATTACAATTCGTTTTTGAAGACCAAATGCATGACCAAATTATGGAATTCGTTGCCACAACTATAGCGCTGAAGAAGAGGATGACGATGAGAGCCAAGCAGGAATCAAATTTAAATGTTCCTATCAGAATAGTAATGATTTAATTTTTGGTTTCATAACAACCATAACTTACGAAACACTATCCTTATTGTCTTCGTCACCCAAAACATCACATCTTTGTACATTAGGCTTTTCTGAGTCACATAATAATTTTTTAAAAAAGAATTCCTATCCAAAATGTATCTTCTAGTGGTAGTTTCAGAAGGTGAGCACAAGAAAACTCACAGATCCCGTTGCTACTACATCCCTACATCCTATATTGGACTATCAAACTACTCCATGTAGTTAAATAGGTGACACTCCCATATCTTAATTTTTCCTTCTGCTTTAACCATAGAGATGGCCCTAGGCCATTGACACAGCTTGCCTTCAAATAAAGGGCTGCTGGATCAGGGTTTACCAACAAATGAGAAACTGATATTTTTTTGAACATGAGTGGCCCTCGTATGCTTGCACTACAGCAGGGATAGCTTGAATCATCCTACTGTTCTGGGGGGGGGGAATCCTTTCCCCTTAGCTACTGTAAGACCTGCAGCTCATCTCAGAAGGGACATGGAAACCTGAGGGGGTGGCAAACAGCATCACAGATCCCTGCTACTCAAGGAGGCCTAGGGCGTCCACCCCTTGAGCCCTGGTTCCACTACACCCCTGGTTCAACTCCAACCTGTTCCTTGTCTGGGTTAGTGACGCAGAGGAAAGGTGGGTTCTGAGTGAATTTATGTTTGATTCAATTCTTCAAAAAAATCCTCCCATTTATGAATGTGGGATCACTACTTCTGGACCCACGATTCAAAAAAGCCAGGAAATGACCCGATATTGCTGCACAATATGGTGCCCGCGTTGCCAGCAGGAACAAGGAGGCCAAGCTTTGTTGGGCAACCTGAGTGTTGACAATACCGAAGGTAGCAAGTCAAGATGGTCTACAGGATCCCCTCTTAGGCTCATGACCATTCACAAAGTGACACCAGGCAGGGGAAAATCCCAGAAGCTGATTCCTTCCCCCGCCCATCAATTAACCACTTCTTGCCCAAATACAAAGCAATGGTCAAGGCTGTTTCTCAACAAGTGCGAATGGCCATTTCTACAAAAGGGGAAAACGAAAGCAGTTCTGATCTGGCAGGAGTGTGCGAGGAGTGAGTGAGGGGGTGGGATTTGCACTGCCAGCATTTGTAGAAAAATAATAATAACCATGACCAGGGTGGGAGCTGGGGAAGCTCATTTCAAGCTAAGGACCGTTTTATATCCCGGATGAGTTTTTGCAGGAAGGCCGGATTTGACGGGGGCGCCCGACCCATGATTTCGATCAAGGACCAGCTTGGTTTCAGCTCAGACAGTTTTATAATTCTGGATAAAAAAGAAATGGATGAAATTCAAACCCCCAAAGGCTGAGCTGATGGGATCGCAGATCGATCTCCCTTAATGGAGTTCCTCTTCTCTTTTCCAGTCGTTGAATGGATTCCCACGGAGTTTCGCACAATTACCATCGCCACCACCGGCTTTGTGTACACGCTGGGACAGATCCTACTCGCGGGCGTGGCCTATGCCATCCCTGACTGGCGCTGGATGCAGTTCGCCGTTTCCGCGCCCTTCTTTTTATTTCTCCTTTATTCCTGGTAAGTGAAGATCGGAAGGGACTCCCTCTGTGGTTCTCCTTCGAGGACTGAAGAACTTTTTTTGCTCGGACAGCCGCTTATACATCGGCACAAATCCTGTGACTTAGCCTTATACATTGCACTCGAGTAGGCCCATTGAACCAACAGGGATTTGGTGAGACGACTCCACTGCAAGTTCTTTTAATTCACCTGGGCTCGTTCGTAAGGGTCACATAATATGCTAAAGTAAGTCACAGCTCGAGTAGGCCCATTTGAATGGAGAGAATTCACAGAAGAGTTGACTCATCAAATACCATATTTTTCAGTGTATAAGACTATACTTTTGTCTAAAATCTCTAGACTAAAAATTGAGGGTCATCTTATACACGGAAGTAAGCTGAGGAGAGAACAAAAACAAGTGGAGGGGGAAGCAGGGATCAAAGCGATCCTGCAGCGCTTTGATCCCTTTCCCCCTACACGTGCTAAGCCCTACTTAGATTTCTTAATTTTGGGTTAGAAAAGTGGGGGGGTGTCTTATACATGGGGGTGTCTTATACACGGAAAAATACGGTAATTCACCAGGCATATCCCAGTGTGATTGATTGTGCTAGGGCAGAGGATTTTGGCCATTATGAAGGCACAGATGAAGAGGGGCATGTGTGCAGATTGACGTCAAAGCTGCTAGACCTGTGGAAACCGGAGACACTCCATCGGCTGTCAGGATTTTTGCCTGGTGTCACGGTAAACCAGGTCCCCGTGAACCGAATCTAAATCCCAAAGTTGGCGAGCAAATCCAAGGTAGAAACTTTGCTTCCCAGAATCGACGGGAGCCACTGTAGGTTCGAGGGTGGATTTTTCCACCTCTGTTGAGTCTGTCTTCTTTGGCACAGGTGGTTTGCGGAATCGGCGCGTTGGCTGATCCTTTCGGGGAAATCCAGCAAAGCAGTGGGCATCCTTCAAAGAGTTGCGCGGATCAACAAAAAACACGAAGCTGGAGCAAAGATCACAACAGAGGTAAACAGAAGGGAAGATCCAGTTGCGGCTTTGAAATAAGGACTGGTAGTTTTGAGAGACACACACACACACACATATATATATGTTTTTTTTTCTTGGCAGGTTCTGCTGTCCAACATGGAGAAGGAGCTCTCCACCACGAAAGCTTCTTACACCATCTCCGACTTGGTGCGCACCCCGGCCATCCGCCGTATTTTCTGATGCCTCTCTGTGGTGTGGTAAGAGATTTAGCCCAAGATAACGCAGTTTAAAAAAATAATCATTCTGCCCATTTTTTTAAATAGGGAAGGTTGAGGCTGTTCGGCCGCTTTGAAGGTTAATTCAAAATTCATCCATGGTTGAAGCACAGATCTTTTTTTATTTCCTTTTGCTTTAAATACGGAACAGGTCGAGGCTTCAAATACCGTATTTTTCGCTCCATAAGATGCACCTTTCCATAAGACGCACTCATTTTTTAGGAGAAGAAAACAGGAAAATATAATCTGTTTTCTTCGCTCCATAAGACGCACAGACTTTCCACCCCCCTGTTTTGTGGGGAAAAAGTGCGTCTTATGGTGCGAAAAATACGGTAGTTTTTTTTTTTTAAAGCAATGCAAAGCGCCTTATCCCACTTTAAAGCCCTCTCTGGGCAGTTTACAATTTGATTATGGAGACTATAGTGGGCACAACACAAGGGATGTTCATCTGTCTTCTGCTTTGTTTGTAAAAAAAATTTTTTAACTGCGCCTTCATTTTAAATGGACTGGTTAGAGAAGTCACTAACGATAGGCAAAACCGAGGCAGCAGGAAAACAGGAAGTCAGAATACTTGAGTCTTCCAGAGCTGGGCAGGGCTATTAAAAGTCATTGTGTATGCCTCTTATCCATAAGGGGTCCGCATAATTGAGAATATACACGGGAGGGCTTGAGGCTTTTAAATTAGTTCTCCTCGTTACAGAACAATCCATCAAAACTATTTTGAAGCCGTAATCCCCCTGCCCCGCTCCAGAAAAATTGGGTTTTCTGGGAGGTATAGTTCATAAATTCAATATAGATCAGCGCCACTGCCTTCTTTCCTTCCTGGATTCCCCTGCTGGCGGTTGGGAGAGCCGTGGGGCTGGTGAGGTTGCCGCCCGTTCCGTCCTCACAACAGCCCTGTGAGGTAGAGCGTGTGCCTGGCCCAATGTAATTCAGTGGGTTTCGTGGCTGAAGCAGGGATTTGAACACATGTTGGGGGCCTGCATTCCCAACATTGTCTGCCACGCCGCCGCCTTTGTGACAGGTTCTCCGTGAGCTTCTCCTATTACGGTCTGGCCATGGACCTCCAGAATTTCGGGGTCAGCATCTACCTCATCCAGGTGATTTTCGGGGCGATTGACATCCCAGCCAAAGTGGTCGTGACCATCACCATGAGCTACCTCGGCCGGAGGGTCAGCCTGGCATCCTTCCTCATCGTCGCTGGCCTCATCATCATCATCAACATATTCGTGCCCACAGGTGAGACTCTCCGCCCTTGCCACGGAGGCTTACTTCCTCTCTTGCAGGAACGCCATGGTTTCTTGCTAGAGATGTTTTTGAGGATGAGCTGTTGTAGATACAGTCGGGCCCACGGATCTGCCAGATCAGTATCTGCGGCTTCATTTGTCTGCATCTGAAAATATAGTGGTGCCTCGCTTAGCGAGTGCACCGTATAGCGATGTTTCCGTATAGCGATCCCTTTTTCGGGATCGCTATACAGAAACATACCCGATCTTCGCAATGGGGAAAACCCGCATTGCGAAGATCGGGTATTGCGGCGGCCATTTTGGAGCTGCCGAACAGCTGTTCAGTGGCTCCAAAATGGCCACCGGAAGCCCGGAAATGGCTGCCGGCGCCGTTTTCACGCCCTGCCCTCGCTTAGCGAGGGCGCGAAAATGGCTGCCGGCAAGGGGAATCCTCGCTGAACGGGTAAGTAAGCAAGGTATTGGAACGCATTGAACTAAGTTTAATGCGTTTCAATACGTTTTCCCTACCCGTTTAGCGACGATTCCGCATAGTGAGGGTTAATCCGGAACGGATTAACCTCGCTATGTGGGGCACCACTGTATTAAAAATATTAAAAGAATATATATACATATTTCCATGGTGTATTTACCAGACCTGGCCACTAGAGGGAGACAGAGACCATGCTGTGTATTGTTGCTCCTATTATCCATGGTTTTCAGCATCCACGTGGGGGCTTAGAACCAATCCCCCATTGATACAGGGGTCCTGCTGAACAACCTGGTGTGTGTGTGTGTGTGTGTGTGTGTGTGACTCACCCAGCAGACTGAACACTCAAGAGGACAACATTCAGCCCATAGGCCACATGGTTACTATTTATTTATTGGTTATATTTATAGTTTGCTTTTCTTCCTCTGAGCTCATCATGGAGATACCTCTTCTCCCCCCCCCACTTCTATCCTCACAACCCTGTGAGGTGTGTGTGGCTCAAAGTTGTGACTGGCCCAGTGAGTTTGATGGCTGAATAGGGATTTGAACCCAGGTCCCAGCGCACACTCTAATATCTCACCACACTCTTAACACTGGCTGAGGTGCCACTCTTTGGTGGCCCTTTGCCACGACTTCAGAAGCCTCCAACCAATCGGGGATTCCTCTGCAACAACTCCTTATTGGGAGAAAAGTGACCTATGAATAAAACAAACGAATAAACACACCTTACCGCCCTCTGAGCATGGAGAAGAGCTTCAGAAGGCCCTGGTGGGGTGCATCGGCCCGCATCTGACCATTTGGCCTCTGCGTGTGTCTAGGAACCTGCCCTGAAGGGAAGTAGGAGGGGTGGAGGAGATCGGAGCTAGGTACTGTGTTCGAATCATGCAGCCTTTTGGTCTTTCTCTTCTCTCCTTCCCTTCCCCTCCTCTCCAAAGAGCTGCAGACGGTCCGCACGGCGCTGGCCGTCATCGGAAAGGGGTGCCTCTCGGCGGCCTTCAATTGCACTTTCCTGTTCACGACCGAACTGTATCCCACGCCCGTCAGGTAAGGAAGACACCCGGGAGACCCCGTCCACCCCATTGGCTTGCTTTGAGGACCCCTCTTTCCACGGCGGCAGGAGACGGGCGTTTGCTGAACCCAGTCCTTGACTTTTACTCCACCCCTGTGTTCCAGGATGGTTTCCCACCCTGTCCTCCCTGGTGCAGGAAAAATCAGGGTGGTAATTCTTAGGTAACCAATAAGTGCTTCTTCTCCCTAGAAGAAAAAATAAAAACAATAAAAACAGAGCAGCAGCCATATACCATATTTTTCCATGTATAAGACTATACTATTGTCTAACATCTTTAGACTAAAAATTGAGGGTTGTCTTATACATGGAAGTAAGCTGAGGAGAGAACAAAAACAAGTGTAGGGGAAAGCAGGGATCAAAGCGATCCTGCAGCGCTTTGATCCCTTTCCCCCTACACTTGGTAAGCCTCACTTAGATTTCTTAATTTTGGGTTAGAAAAGTGGGGGGCGTCTTATACACAAGAAAATACAGTAATCCCAGAACACTTGGGAGAAGAGGACCAGACCTACATCGTTGGATCCAGGCTTAGCTGCCCTGCAGCTGGGACGACAAAAAGCAGGCTCTAAGCAGAAAACCACGGGGGCAGCTTAAAAACGATCAGATTTATTTTAAGGTCAGCTTTTGTGCGTTCCAGCCCCGATACCTCTGAGGCTCTGGATGGTCACACCCTGCTGAAATCTCTCTGGTCCATCTCGGAAGCCTTTTTAAAATTTTTGGCTCCTTCGTTTAGCGGGGTGGGGATCATGGGTATTGTGGTCCCGGGGAAAAAAAAATCAGATTGCAGAAGGCTGCAGTAGTTTAGGGAAATGGCTAAGAGCGGCTGAGCCAGGGAACGGACTAGCTTGAAAGACTGCGGGTCAGTGATATTCCCAACCCTTGGTCACGATCGGTTCTTGGAGTACGGTTCTCAGAAATCCGGACCCGCACCGCTGGTGGCGAAGGCTTGTGGGAGTTTGTAGCCAAGAACATCTGGGGAGGCAAGGATGTTCCCTCCGATGAGTCCGCCCAGCAGGCACATCTGGATTCTCCTCTCTACTTCGTCCTCCCCCTGACCCTTTTTGGCTTCCTGATCCGTCAGCCCGCCAGAATGTATGGTGCAGGATCACCCGCTGCATTTCAGGGCTTAGTGAAGAGTAGAATCTAGGACTCTGCCACGAGACAGGCGAAAGCAGCGGCAGGGATACAACGCACACCGAAAGCCCGTTCTGCCGGCTGTCCTTCCTGCAGTAGTCGGAAATGCTATTCTAGCACATTGTTAAGACCTGTATTTTTCTCACCCTCCCCAGGCAGACTGGGCTAGGTTTTGGGAGCACCATGGCCCGGGTGGGAGGCATCGTGGCCCCTCTGGCGAAGATGATGGAAGATTATTACGCTCCTCTGCCGCCGATTGTGTATGGATCGGCTCCAATCATCTCCGGCCTCATTGCCTGCTTCCTGCCCGAGACCCTCAACGTCCCTCTGCCGGATACCATAGAGGATGTGGAGAACAGGTGAGGGGGGTGGGGACCATTCATTAGGTGGGAACAGAGATGGCATCATCCACCAGAAGGAGGGGACACCGTGTCATATTTATGGCTGTGAGATCAGCTTTTGTCCTTTTTTAGGAGATAGGTGATTAGTGTGTCTTGTTGCAGGTGTATTGTTGTGATAAGGAGGAGAGATTATTGGTCACTGCGATTGATGGGTGTCATTAGCTGGTCTTTTGTGTGTAGTGATCCCCGGTCCTTGTGGCTGAGTAGAATTTGTTGACCTTTTTGCACACTGTGTTTTTCCGAGCTGGAAGTCAAGTTTTGTTGAATTTCAAACTTTCCTCTTTTTTGTTGAAGTCCTGCTGGTGCTTGTGGATTTCAATGGCTTCCCTGTGCAGTCTGACGCAATGATTGCTAGTGTTGTCCAGTAGTTCAGTATTTTGAAATAGATCATCCGGGAGGGCACGCGTTAACGACACGGACTGGTATAGGAGGCCGCGATGCATGTCTTCCATGCTTCCTCTACAGGAAGCATGGAGGACACCGCGACTCTAGAGGTGAACTATAGATCGGAAGCTTGCTATTGTGGTTGATAAGGCAGCTTCCTTTAGCCCAGGGCCACTCAGCGGTTTCGGCGTTCAGAGTGGATGCCCATGAGTTTTAACGCAGTAGAACACACACACACACACACACACACACACACACACACACGTATCCATGGGCTCGGTATGTGCAGCTTCACTTATCCATGGTCTGATTTTTTTTTTAAAAAACTATCCATGTAGACGGGGGTCTTACTGGACATTTCATGGACACAATTCACGGGATAGGAGGTTGGATAGGTGGGGGATCCTGGTGGTTCCTTCTGCTTGAATTCAATTTTTTTCCTTTTTTTTTTAAAGAGCGAGAAAGAAGACTAAGGAAGAACTGGCCCAGAAAAAAAAACTAGAACTATCCATGGAGACAGGGGTATTCCTGGACATTTCATGGACAGGATTCACGGGACAGGAGGTTGGATAGGTGGGGGATACTGGTGGTTCCTTCTGCTTGAATTCCCTTATTTCCCTTTTTTTTTAAAGAGCAAGAAAGAAGACTAAGGAAGAACTGGCCCAGGAGAAGATTTTGCTGCAAAGCCAAGACAAGGCCCTCTTTAAAGAGACCTGCTGATCCGAAAAGGGGCTCAGGTCTCTCCTTGCCCCCGGCTTCTGAGAAGAGAGGCGCTTTAAGACTTTATTGACGGCTTGTGATGTGCTCAGACTGGGAACTTCTGTTGGGAAGGGAAGACACCATGAAAGCTTGAGAAGATGGGAACCTTCTGGACCTTTCTGGAAGTCCTTCTCTGCCCCTAAGGGCCCGTTTTCTTCTTCTTCGCCCTTATTTTTTGAATGGCTTCTAGGGAATGGGCCATGTTCCCTCGGAACCAGGAAGACTCTCCTTTTAAGTCCTGTTTTTCAATTTCTGGGAGCCTTTGGTGCGGTGATAATAAAGATGAAGGAGTGCCTCTGAACATGCACAGATGTCCATATCTAGCGGAATCCCTGCTATGGTGAAGGCTTCTGTTTTTTTTCTTCTTCTTCCAGAAGGTAGCCACATCTCTCACACCTGTTGCGAACAATAAACCGCTTGTGAACTCCCTTCCAAAAAAAGTCATGAATTGTAGTCCAAATAAACCAAAGCACTTGGCTAAAATTCCAGTTGTGGTTTTGGAAAGTAACTCTTATTTCCCATATCCTGGGGGGGAAAATAACTGAACTAGATGCTTTTTAGTTACTTTGGAACATCAACCACAGGGGTCTGAGCACAGGGGAGACTTGTCTTGAAGAACGGGTGGCCTACCTCTGAATGTTTGAAGTTGGCTGTTCTATGTCTTCCCGTCCATTTTGTCCACCACTGAGCACAAAGCAGCAGCATGAGCTACCGTATTTTTCCGTGTATAAGACTATACTTTTGTCTAAAATCTTTAGACTAAAAATTGAGGGTCATCTAATACACGGAAGTAAGCTGAGGAGAGAAGAAAAACAAGCGGAGGGGAAAGCAGGGATCAAAGCTATCCTGCAGCGCTTTGATCCCTTTCCCCTGCACTTGCTAAGGCCCACTTAGATTTCTTAATTTTGGATTAGAAAAGTGGGGGGCGTCTTATACATGAAAAATACGGTACAATACGAGGCAATGCTTGGATCTTGCACTATTCCTCTGCCATTTTTTTAACTTAACCCACACTCTAACTAGAAGCAAAACTTAAAGTTAGCTACCCTGCAAAGGGAGAGGTGTTATCTCTCAGCACGCTGCATCCGTAACATACTTTAATAATGCCCTGATGATGCTCGGTGTATTCAGTTTGGTCTTAGGCTTCCGTGAGTAGCTCACGAAAAATAGTGTTATTTTATTGCAACAAGTGACAGGCGTCCCTTGGTTTATGAAGTTAATGCATTCTCCAGGACATTACATAATGCAAAAAAATTCGTAAACGGAAACGCAGTTCGCCATAGGAACGGGGACGGCGCTATAAACCTCCCAGGCTCAATACATCCTGGGGAAACGTCCTTCGTACTGTGAAAAAAGAATCGTAAACCGAGGCATTATTTTCAATGGATTTCCATTCGTAAACCGAAAATTAAGTTAACGGAGGCGTCCGCAAACCAAGGTACTACTGTATGTGATTTTCAGAGATTTCCTCTTAAAAGGCATTTCGAGAGGGAATTTTTTTACATTTCAAGCCATCCTTGTATCGATCTTAAGTGTCTCTCGCTGCCACCAAAGTAAAAGAAACCAACCAAAAAGTGGCACAAGAAGAAGCACAACGAGTTATTTTTTCCTCGCTGCAAGTATTAATGACAGCGAATTGCTTTCCAAACACTGTAAAGAGTAGCAGGGATAGATTTACATGCGAAAAATGACTTTCCAAGTTCTGGTTTGGATGCAAGTCATGAGGACAGAAGCCAGGAGGGTTGATCCAAACCCAGTTTCTCAGCCCTGGAAATTGGCGGCCGTGCTAGACCAGAATTTAGAAAAATCTCTTCTGCTCCAGATTCCTTCCGCCCTCCGAGAGAACCTACTGTGATTCTTGCTGCCTCTCCAAAATGGATTTTTTTTCCTTCCTTCCTCCTTTACGGCAGACAAGAAATATGGCGTCCCTTCCTGTCCCACTCCATAAATTTTCTGATATCCTTTTGCAGAATGCAACAGCTGCCACCAAAACTCCGTGGCAGCTGTGGTGTGGCCCCTTAAGGGTTTGGGGGGGGGGACCCACAAACTTGTTGCAGAATGTCGAATTTTGGTTCAATTCTCACCGCAGAAGTGCAGGGATTCACAGAGCAGAATTAGCTTCAAGTTCCCCAAAGCAGTGCACCCCCTTTTTTCCCTTTCATTAAGTGGTGCTTACAGACCCAGTAACACACTTGTAACAGAAAGAATTAAATGGTTACACAACTTACGGTTGAACAGCTCAAACAGCAAACTGATAAACGTGACTGTTTTCATCACAAAGTTCAACAGACTCACTGAATGCTTCCAACACACAACACAGAAGGAATAAAAGTACCAAGCAGAGAGGCGGGGCTCTCTTCGAAAACTCAGTGGCAGGAGGTAACGATTGGTTAGTGCTGAGAAGATTGACAGTTACTCTAGCCCAGAAAGGTTCCTCCCACCCACATCGACTAAAGGCAGCCTGCGAGGTTGGGAAAAAAAATCTAACAAGTTGTCCACTCCTGTGGGGCAAAAAATGAAATACAAAGCTGACTTACATCCACTGAAAAGATCAATTGTCCGTTCCAGCTTTCTTTGCTGGAAAACCATCCCGACCAACTGTATTTTTAAAGTCCTCTCGAGATAATTCAAGGTGGGAGGTTGTCTTCAAAAATCTGTAAAATATCTAAAAGTAGTCTTCCTCAGACTCAAATCTCACATTGCCCAACTTTCGCTGTTTAATCTAAGGTTGTCGCTATTTTCAGGTCTCCAGTAAATAGGATATTTTGTTGAATGAATGAATGAATGAATGAATGAATGAATGAATGAATGGATTTATTTATTTATTTATTTATTTATTTATTTATTTATTTATTTATTTATTTATTACAGTCAGGTGACCAGCTCATAAAACATATTTATGGCTAAAACAGACAAAATGCAGTTTAAAAATGTACAACCATTTCATAAATAGGATATTTGGTTCCTTCATCTGCTTCTTGCTAGTGCTTTAATGGATATTTTGTTCCTATGATTAGCTAGCGGTGTATATACTCTTTTCCCCTGAAACAAATAATTTAGATATCCCACAGCATGGATACTAGCCACGAAGCATGCATCCCTCGCTGGCTTTGTGATTTTATCATCAAAACAATATCTCATCTTTCTGTCAGAAATGATACAGAAGCTGGCGAAGAAAAGTATATTTAAGATTTAAAAAAAAATACAATTTAAACATTAAACGGGCTTTTTAAAAAACCCACTGAAAATCCTTCCGTAAAAGGAAACAGCGCCCGCCCTTTAGTTTCCATCAGGTGTAAATGCCAAATGGGCATCTGAGTTTTAAACACATCTGGCCTTTGGGTGAAGGGACAGCTGCTTAAAGTGTTTGTGAATCAGCCGTGATGATTCACCCACCAGAAAGGTGGTTTTTTTCCCCTCCTTGAATAGCCAGATGAGTTAAGAATTTCTTGTGGCCAATGGAAGATGGAATGCAGAAATCACCCAGCCATTCTGGATAGGTTTAAATTTATATACAGTGGTGCCTCGCTTGATGATGTTAATTTGTTCCAGCGAAATAGCTGTAGAGCGAAAACATCATCAAATGAAATAAAAAACCTAATCGTACAGCGATTTCCTCGTTGAGTAAGGCAATCATTAAGCAAGGCACCACTGTACCTACATGCATTATCTATAAGGAACCCAATTCTTGCCGGGCAACCAGGCCTGTATTTATTTTCTGCTTGGCCTTGAAGACCATGTCCGCCATTTGCATTCGGGATTCACTGTGATTGTGTGGCCCCTGAGAGGGTCACCATAAACACCCCTGGGACTCGCGATCCACTTCCGGGCGGCGGGGTGGACACTTAGGGCCGTGGCAGGAGGGAAATAAGTCAATGGCATGGAGCAGGGGGTGCCAGTGAAGCGAATGGCAAAGTCTTCCACTCCCTCCCAGAGTCTGGTCAAATTCACGTTGGTCGCTTCGGTGACCCTGTCCAGCCATCTCATCCTCGGTCGTCCCCTTCTCCTCTTGCCTTCACACTTTCCCAACATCAGGGGCTTTTCCAGGGAATCTTCTCTTCTCATGGGATGGCCAAAGTACTGGAGCCTCAGCTTCAGGATCCGTCCTTCCACTGAACCTCCAATGCTAGGACGTGTCAAATGTCCCAATAGAGAGAACCGTTTCAGAACAGAACAAATTGCCTCAGAGTGGGGTGGAAACGTGGGGTGTTGGCAAGTCTACGGTCCCAAGTCTGAATCCCTATTAAAAACAAGTGTTTATCCCCAGAAAAAAAAAGGGAGAGGTGAGTCAGTTCCAAGTTGCGCGTCATTGGCGGGGAGAAAAAGAGGCCAAGTTGAGTCTAAGAAAAATCACCAACATGAATTAAGCCCGGCTTCATAGCGAGTCCCATGACTTGAGTCTCCCCCGATTTGTCATTGCCGCTTGGAGGAGAATCACTGCCAGGTCACAGGAGGCTTCAGCCCAGACGGGAATATCGTTATTGGAACCGGTACAGCAGGAAGACTCCAAAGCTACCTCATTTAGGCCTCCTTCAGTCTCGAGAGATGATGGCCACATGCTCTGCATGGAGGACTTGGAACAGCGTCTAGTGTGGCTGAGGAGGCCAATTCGAGAGTGACCGTCCTTTCCACACTGAAGACAAATAGAATCCGTCCCCTGTCCTGCTCCTTGATTTGGCTGGTTTTCGGGACGGCCTCTTTGCCAAAGCGACCACCCTCGTCAAAAATCCAACCCTCGTCTTCTCTCTCCCTCTGGCCCATTCCCGGAGACCTCAGCCCGGGATCAGAGACCGTCGGGCAATCCGAATCTCGACTCTCCTTTCGCCCTCACCCTGCGAAGGTCACCACCAGTGGCCTTGGGGACAGCCTGGACCCGTCCCAGTGGAAGTTAATTCCTAACACCGGCGTGTGAATAATACACCGGGTTGTAGGGCTAAGGGGACGAAAGGAGGGCTGACCAGGAGCGCCCTTTGTGTCGAGAGAGGCGCCCGGCATTCACATGCACCAAACCGGTGTAACACTTTAACCCAGTGATTGGCTGCAGTCGTTTTATATATATATTTCATTCCTAGTAGAGCTTTCAACCCCAGAAGGCTTGTAAGGGGAATGGGGCTCATAGCTTGGATGAAACCAAGCCCTTGACCCTTGACCCCTTTTGGGACCACCGTGCGGTCTCTCCGGAAAAGGGACGGCAGTAGAGAATCCTTCCCCACCCCACGGGATGTGGCCACACTAACCAGGCAAGGGGGACAAAATGAAACGAAGATAACTACTCCATCATATAAGACAAGAACTCAAATTCAAGATTTTTTTCTTCTATTTCTTCTTCTTCAGAGATAAGGCCCCGCTCAGCCATTTCAGGAGCCAAGGATCACTTTCCGATTTCTAGTTCTTGTTTCAGGTGGTTGGTAGATCTTGGCCAAGAAGTCATCTTTCTCCAGCTCTGTCTTGGCCTCCCCCACCGCCAGCCCTATTCTTCCAGTGCGTAGCCGGCACTATATTTCCCATCTTTAGCGCCATGAGCTTTGCCGAGCTCCTTGAACATGTCGGCAGCATGGGACGCTTCCAGATCCTGTACGTGGCCCTTCTGTCCCTCCCCATTTTCTTCATGTCGTCCCACATGGTGCTTCAGAATTTCACGGCGGCCACCCCGGACCACTATTGCGCGGTCTACCAAAAGACCTTCTCCGGGAACCGAACCTTGGAAGAAGAAGATCTGGTGAAGATCTCCATTCCCATGGACGAGAAGGAACGGCTGGACCAGTGCCACCGCTACGTCAACCCCCAGTGGTGGCTCTTGAACTCCAGCGTCGGCGTCAACGCCAGCGATCCGGAGATCCCTCTCGTGAATGGGACCCCCCCGGAAACGGAGCCGTGCCAAGACGGGTGGGTGTACGACAGGAGCGTCTTCCCCAACACCATCGCCATGGAGGTGAGACCTACCCCAGGGTTAGCTCAAGGAATGGTGGAGGGTGGGTAGATTGATCTGTCCTTTTTAGTTTCTCTTGCTTCTGTAGGGAAATTCTACCGTAACGTAGTGGCAAATGGGAACTTCCCTGCTGGATCAACTGCAAAACTTGGAAAAGTTGCTTTTAAAAAAAAAATTACCATTCTCTAAATCTGTACTGTGAGTGTGATCTTGGGCATTTTAGGATCTGTAGTCCCAAAAGGAACTTTTCTAAGTTTTGTCCATCCGATCGGGTTTCTGGGAAGCCCACAAAGAGGGGACCAACCCAAGAGGTTTCCTCGACTGTTGCTCCCTTCTAGAAACCGATCTTCAGTGATAGACTGCTCTTGAACATGGAGGTTCCATTTAGTTCAGATACATAACACTTCTCTCTCTCTCTCTCTCTCTGGATGTGTCTTTATATAGCTAGGAGACTCAGTAATGCTTAAAAACGACTTGATGAAGTTGTATAATTGAAAAACGAAGGATCAAGATGTACTGTAGTTAAAATTTACAGCCTACTAGGATGGTCAAAATGGCTGTTTTTGTGGCTTCTGCTGAAATGTTATTTTTCCAGCAATGCCCCCCAAATCTGGAGAACCTTGGATTCCCCCAGAAGTGGCCAATTTGTCTTTTAAATATGAACCGAGACCTCCCTGTACCATCATGGCACTTCTTAAATACTGATTCTGCCCCACCCAAAACTGGGTCTCCTACCAGAGTTCAGTTTGGGGTCCCTGCCCCACATTTTTGGTCATCTGTGCAGTCCCGGAGAGTTCCAAAGGTAGAAAATTAGACCCTGGAGCCCAAAGTTGCTTGCCTGTAGGGCCCAATGAAATGAATTCAATTTAATTCGATTTGAGAAAGCAGTGAGTAATTTAATGTGCTTTGATTCAGTTGGTTTGTGCTAATCTCAAGGCAACCTTCTCTCTCTCTCTCTCTCTCTCACACACACACACACACACACACACTAAAGTAAGATCCACAATCGAGCTCCAGAAAAGCTACTGATGCGGGGTGTATGGATTTTATTTTATATTTTCCAGTTTTGTTTTACCGAAGTCTCTGTTTTGAAAAATGTCGGGAAAACACATAGTTAGCCAAGGAAAAAAAATCTGAAAGAAGGGGAAAAGTGCAGTCTCCTTGTGATGCCTTAAGAGCTTACAAAGATCCCCATCTGGGTCAGCCAAAGAATTCTCCCGTCTGAGGTCTATCTGTAGGTTTTGGACTACAGCACCTATCATCTCTGGTGGGATGGGCTCTGTAGTCCAAAACATCCAGCAGCCACCATGTTGGGAAAGGTTAGTCCAACTTCTTGTTTCCGATAGGGGCTCACAGTAGATAGAGGGAATTAGGATTACGTCCCTCAGAATCCTACAGCCTGCGTGATTCTGGCTTTGGAGAATTGTGGGAGAATACAGATTGAAAGAAAGAAAGAAAGAAAGAAAGAAAGAAAGAAAGAAAGAAAGAAAGAAAGAAAGAAAGAAAGAAAGAAAGAAAGAAAGAAAGAAAGAAAGAAAGAAAGAAAGAAAAATAGGGAACGGGAGGAGGAAATGAGATGAGGAAATTGCCACTGTGTCCTTGTTTACAGATTATCAGCAGGGCTACGGGAAAGCAATGTTAACAAGCTGCAAATAAGGCTGTTCAGCTAATTTCCCCCCCTTCACCCGTGTGGCCATGCCAAGATACAAAATTTTGAATGCATAGAATGCTGAAATACTTGTGAGGAGTCTAGAAAAAGCAGCTGTGGAAATGTACGCTGTCATTCAAAAAATCAGGTGTCATCATCCTCATCCTCCCCTTAGAATAAAGAGCTGGAAGGGACCCGGTCAAGAAGGCACAGTGGGGAATTCACAACGAAACAACAACAGAGAACGAATAACGTTAAGGCTTATCCTGTTTCGTCTGAATTGTTGTTTTGTTTCCCCTTTGCTTTTCTCTTCCTCCACCTTCTCCCCACCGGCCCTGCTCGCAGTGGGACCTGGTTTGCTCCTCGAGAAGCCTCAAGGAAATGGCCCAGTCTCTGTACATGGCTGGAGTACTGCTGGGAGGAATCGTCTTCGGCAGTCTCTCAGACAGGTAGGGTCTGCCTTTTCCGCAGCCGCGTCACACGGTTGGCTCGTGTGCAGCTTGCACGATACACAACAATTCCAAGATCCTTCTTGTGTGTCGCGTTACTGAAATAAGGTTGGGATCACACTGGCCCTTAGAATCTCCATTTAGCCATGCAGACTACAGAGGAATTTTTTTTCTTCTCCGAAAGATACTGAAAGCAGCTCAACCAGCTGGTTTAAACTTGCTACAGTGGTGCCTCGCTAGACAGTTACCCCGCATGACAGTTTTTTCGCTAGATGTTGACTTTTTGCGATCGCTATAGCGATTCGCAAAACAGTGATTCCTATGGGGGAATTTCGCTGGACAATGTTTGGTCCCTGCTTCGCAAACCGATTTTCGCTAGACGACGATTTTGACAGCTCCCTCCGCACTCGCAAAACGGGTGTTTTCGGGACCTAAGCTTCGCAAGACAGCGATTTAAACAGCTGGTCGCGGTTCACAAAGCAGCTTGCCTATGGCCGATCTTCGCTAGACAACGACGATTCAAATTTGGAATAAAAACCAATTTCTGCTCTGTCCTCCAAATCTTCTCCTTCTTTCCTAACGACATTTCTCTCTTCTGGTTATTGTTCCAGGTTTGGACGTCGTCCGCTTCTCATCTGGTCTTACCTGCAGCTGGCCACATTAGGGACTGCCACGGCCTTCTCCCCCAACTTCACTCTCTACTGCGCCTTCCACTTTCTGACGGGCATGGCCTACTCAGGAGTTGTGTTCAACTGTCTCTCCCTGTGTGAGTGTCAAGTATTCTGCAGCTTCCCCTCGGGGCAGGGGATGGGTGAGGGGGGGGGACCTCTCCCAAGGCACTTGGACTACAACTCCCATGATCCTTCACCAATGGCTCTGCTTTGAGCTTTGGGTGGGAGGGAGGGAGGGAGGGATTGAGAGAGAGAGAGAGAGAGAGAGAGAAAG